ATTGCTTTGACATGTTTCATGTGGTGCAACACCCTCAGAAAATTGTACAGTATTTCCGTTTACCATCGAATTCCTTTACGGCAGTAGTAGAATTCACTGGACAGTCTATACGCGTAGACCCGAATAAGCAGGTCACTACACACCTGTTAGTTCGTTTTAGTCCATCACTGAGATATAAGTAACTCGGCACAAGTGAGAGTGAAATTCATTCCAGATAACCTTTGGTCGTTTATCTTCAAATAATTCTATGCTGTATTATTGCTGTTGTATAAGTCGCACTACCCACCCATCTCCCGGTAATATTTCTTTACTACTGTGGTCTGTGAGAAATCAGAATAGGCTCATCCAACTAACATTTCCAATCTGTGTGTTGCAGAAGATAGTTAACTGATAGACGGATTATACAAATCTGAACTCCAACTTGGAGGCATCTACTAGTATCTTCGTTTCAATTAACATCTGTATTTTCTATTAGGAAAATAATCGTATTAGGTTTCATTAATACAACCGTTATTAGCAGATGTGTGGACTGAAATTCGGATCTTGAATAATCGTCCACCGGGATCAAGATCATCGTCTATTCGACATATATTGCTGGATTTTGTGAGTTTGTTCCGATAATTACGGTTTTGAAGGTTTCGAGGGCTCCTTTATCCATCGCGTCAATACAGAAAGAAGATCAATGTCTGGACATGTTGCTATTTTGTTCAATCTTCTCAACCGTTTACTGTAAGCAAACAAGCAAGCATAGAGAACACGCGGATATTGATCATATTCTTCTATACTTAGTAATAACCTATGCGTTCACAAGTTTATTCATCACAAATGAACAACTCCATATGCTATGTATGTCCCTGTTTGTTTTCGGACAGTGATTGAGAAGATTACACAAATTGTTTACATCTCGCGACATTTGTCTTCTTTCTGTGTTGATTATATCACAGAGTTTTGTTTAACATGCCCTCAAAATGTGTGTATATGGGACTAATGATGGTGAGCTAGATAACAGTGGGAAAAAAATGTTTCTACTCAAACTATTGTAATCTCAATAATACCATCCACTCGGTGTCCTTCATTTCAAAGAAATAGCGGACCCGTATGGTACGGGTTCTAAGTTAGACGCTGTGGGGTTTCTAACGTTAGACAAGTTTTTTCTTACTCATGGATAGCGGTTATTATTCGCATGTCTCTCTTTCAGGAGAGCACCTCAATCATGTGCACTTACTATAATCAGCACTGCTGCATACTGACACAAAGTTCTAGTGCAGATGTTGTGACCTTATGTGAAACGGTGGAATAACAGTTTTTTTTTATCTTCGAAATCGAGATGTTTCAGTTCGGCCTCGCAGTGTTGTCCTCGTCAATCTGATCTGATATACGCTGGTTTACGAGTCAAAATCAACCACAATGTAACACGTAATCTGTTTATGAGTTTGCACGGAATAGACTACCGTGTGAACGTTTATTCTCCTGTCCTTGGTCTCTCCTTTGTTGTGGATGAAGTAGTGAACATAGACTTTTACTGATCGTATACGTTTCTATTAGGAAACTTTGGCTCACTCAACACTCACGTGTATTCGATAGAGTGATCTTTGGTATACTGTTTAACCGGATGAGATTAAATAACTCCTGGAAGTTTCCCTCGACCGCGGTGCACTTTGCCTGTAATGCAACCTGGAAGCATCAGATTCCGTCGTCTCGGATTAGACTTACGTGGAGTTAATTTTTCGGTACAAATCGTGTTTCGTGATGCTTGCTTCCGGTACAGTTCAGCAGAGCGCACTGAGCAGGTGAAGAGGGTTAGAAGAAAATGCAGTAGTTCATGAGCCCATGCGTTCGATCCCAATTCACTAGGAGAGCACCTGTCAGGAACCACCCGTGCTGAATGATGCCTATAAATGAAGCTTGTGGTAGCTTCTCAACCGGCGAGTTTTAAGAGGCTATCAGACTGAGACGGCGTAACGCAATCTGATCGACCCTGTGCTTCCCGTGCGAACTATGGAACATGAACATAGACAACTATAAGTAAAGAAATACGTGGTCCGATTCTTGGATGGTGTTCCAGCACACTTGACAACCTTCCGTGTAACAGTGAAAGTTTGGCCCATGGCGAAATGGTTAACCTGGATCCATCGTTAACGAGCGAGGAGCATACAACGAGTGATGAACCGGTATTTGGAAATTAGGAGGGTCGCACAAGTGATAATTGAGAGACATGGAACCAAACGTTTTTCTCCAGTTTCTGAGTGGCACATTTCCTGCTAGAATAGCTCAATCTCCCCGGTTAAATTTATAAGAGATCAAGCTAATTATGGTAAAAGACATTTTGACTGCAGCACACGGTGACACACATGGTTGGTAGGCAGCTGCAACTGTTTGCTTTGAATTGCGCACAAACAACTATCAATTTGGATTGGATCTGACAATATGGTGTTAACTCTGTCGCTGACAGCCACGAGCAGGTCAGTAATACCAAAAACCGTAGCTTCATGGTCCGACGAAACAGCATAGTCGGAACGGTTCCTGCGGTTTGCGTAGAAACACCGATTTAAAAGATGAATCTAGGATTCTGTTTCTTAGTCTATTCAGTGCAAACACATTATCGACTGTAACCTCGATCGCAGAAGCTAAAACACGCTTGCAGTCTTAAATCCACGAGGACTCTAAAGTCAAATGGTGCTAAGCTGAAGAGGCGTCAAGACAACGAACAGCTCCGGCTGGTGGAAAGCTATTCGGTGTAATCTGTACGGAAGTCGCTTAGACCCGATGTTTTCTAGTTGAACCACTACTGTTCATACATCTGTTAGTACAGACGTATAAAGTGCCACATGCATGTGTAAATGCGTGTGGATGCAGTGTGCTTCTGTGCTTATTGTGAGTAGGGAATTAGGATAGTCGAAAAGACAGAAAGTTATGTACGTTACGTTATCGTTCACTGTTAATGTGTTACGCTTAAGTGGTGGTGGTGAAGCGATACCGGCCATCGGTTATCGCCCTAGAAGACATATGCTTGAATTCAACCACCATCACCATCCGACTTTCCTTATTCCCCGTGTATTGTACGTCACCCCTTTGGTTCACCCCACTTTTACCTACCTGAAAACGGTATCATTGAGTATTCAATAAAAACGAAGTAGAAAGAAAAGAATTACACATATATATATATGTGTGTGTGTTTGTGTGTGTGTGTGTGATTGATGACAGATTGTGTCGCGTGGGCTGTTGCTATACTTGGTCGATACATCTATCCACAGAAGGCGTTATTCAAGATTACACTGTAGTTTTTATTCAAGATGATGTGAAACACTAGGCAGTGATGCTGATTTATTTGAGACTGTGACCAGTTTTGTGGTTCATTTCTCTCCTGTTTTTAGATATTCTTATCCAGCAGATGAGCGTCAGAACTATACACTATAAAGTTTGAAACCGGAAGCATTATTGTACGTTGAACTGTATCTCGTTTGGTAGGTTTTGGGTAAGAGTGTTACAATCGCCATCCCCTTGATAACTGCGCCTTTTC